TAACGCAAACTTCACATCATCTTCATCAAGGTGAAAGTTGCTTCCAAATTCTACCCCATCCCTGTTTCTGTCCACCAGTGGAGGTTCTACATTGATTGAGCAACAGGAGAGTAAAAAAGAGAAGTGAATCCCCCCATCAAGCATTAGCAGTGCCTTCACTGGGTAAAATTGTTCTTTGCAGCCACATGCTGACTACCAAAAAAGCTGCTGAAAGAAAATTTTCTTGGAGAAAAGAAGAATTTTCTTGGAGATTGGTAGATTTGATTTCCTGACTTCATAAAGTAAGGAGAACAAAAATCAGACCCTGGAATATCTCCTCAGACAAGCACATGACAGCAATATAAGCCTCTTTCTAGGGCTCAGAAGCCAAAGAGACTTTGTACCTATTTGTTTTCTGTGCTCCCATGGTGTGAAGCAGACAAGAAAGACCAGATCATTTTGCAAATCATGTGACTCCAGTCTGAAATCAGTAACCCAGAGCAAAAAGGACTTGCAGAGCACAGGGACACCAAAGAGAGGCTCTGGTCTGGGCATTCTAATAAGGCCTAACATTGAGTGGAGAGTGCTAAAACACCCACCTGGTCCTTGATCCCAGAAAGGGGATTCTCCAGCACACACAGATAGCTGAGAACACCTCAGGGGTGGGGACACAAAGCCACCACACTCTCAGTTATGCAGTACTATGGTAGTCAGAGTCTGAATTCTGCGCTTCTTATTGCTGAAATCATATTGGTTTTTCTATAGAATAGCTTAATGTGGGAAGCTCTCTTAAATAAATCATCAAAATCCTAGAGTGAGGTTATGAATTGCCAAATGGTGACCCAGCAGTAACTGGCTCATCAAAAATGTTGAATAAATGTATGTATAAATGGATGGATGGATGGATGAAGAATTCCATGGAATACCTAATGGTAGCAGTGATCTTTTTCTTTCTTTGTTAAGAAAATTTTACGGGTTGCAGTGGCTCATGCCTGTAATCGTAGCACTTGGGAGGCCAAGGTGGGTTGACTGCCTGAGCTCATGGGTTTGAGACCAGCCTAAGCCACAGTGAGACCCCATCTCTAAAAATAGGCAGGTGTTGTGGCAGTCACCTATAGTCCCAGCTAGCTAGAAGGTTGAGGCAAGAGAATCACCCAAGAGAACCCAAGAGTTTGAGGTGGCTGTGAGCTATGACACCATGGCACTCTACCAAAGGGTGACCAAGTGAGACTCTGTCTCAAACAAAAAAAAAAAAAGAAAGAAAGAAAATTTTCAGGCCAGGCATGGTGGCTCCTGCCTGTTATCCTAGCACTCTGGGATTTGACAAGTGGATTGCTTGAGCGCAAGAGTTCAAGACCAGCCAGAGCAAAAGCAAGACCCTATCTCTACCAAAAATAGAAAAACTGAAGCAAGAGGATTGCGTGAGCCCAAGAGTTTGAGGTTGCTGTGAGCTATGACACCACAGCACTCTACCTAAGGCAACAGCTTGAGACTCTGTCACAAAAAAAATATATATATATTACTTGGGAGGCTCTGGGAGGCTGAAGCAAGAGGATTGCGTGAGCCCA